TGGTCCAGGACATAGTCTGATGTAAGTTAGGATACCTGGATATCAAAAAAATAATAATAATAAAGAAAAGAAAATTAAACGATTTAATTTAACTTCAGTCAAAATCCAACAAACACGTTCGCTTGCATAAGCGTGCTGACAACATAAACGTGACGTGCAATTCATATCTTAACTAAAAGGGAACATAATTTAGACTTTTGGCATTGACATGGTCAGACTTCGTCTACAAAATTCTTAACATCCGTTTGCTTGGAAGCGTGCTGACAAAATCCAACAAACACGTTTGCTTGGAAGTTTGCTTACCCATGAGTCGTCCATTCCGCAGCGAGTTACACTCACATTCTTCAATGAGGCCCTGTTTGGTACACATTATTTTTTTCATTCTTATTCTTCTACTCATTTTCAACCATACATTCTTCAATAAAATAATATTTTCTATCACATCAGTAACTTTTTCTTCATTTTTAATCACACATTCTCCATCAATCTATTATTCAATAATAAATTCTTTCAAAAGAATGTGTCACAAACACACTCTGAATTAAGTTCCTATTTGATATCGATTTTTTAAAATATAATGTTTTTAATAAACTAATTTTTAACTACATAATCACTTGTGTAGTTATGTTCAATCACATTTATGATATTGTATTCTTGTACAAACCAAAAAGATAACAAGAAATTTCCTTAGGTGCTTAACCTAGTTTTTTCCTGTTTAATAGTACAAACGAAAAAAAAAAAAAATCCTTCAATTTAAAATGGATTTGCCAATTTCCTTTCCAAATGGTAAGTTTTTTGACATATATTCCTCCAATTTTGAAAAAAGGAACACGAGAACTACATTGTAAAGGTAATTGTCAACACTTTTAAAATTAGGGATAACTGCAACAAAAGCTCCCAAATCATTGAAACACTAGCAAATTTTTCTCAAACCTTTGATTTGTTGCAGAAGTCACCCTAACCTTTTCAAACGTTGCAGGTGAAGCTCTTCTGGACATTTTTCATCCACAATTTCGTCAGTTAACCAAAATTTTAACTTTGACCATAATTTTAATAATGGGGCAAAATAATAACTTTATATTTATCACATTAAACAATTAAACTAATTAAATTAAAAATAAAAAGAAATAAGAAAAAAAAAATAATCGTCTTCTTCTCACCCCCCACGCCCATCCCTTCCCCCCACCTCAAACCCAAAAATCAGCCACTCGACAATGCCACCTCTAATTCTTTAGGGTTCGTCTTCTACAAAACTACAAAGAAAAACCCAAGAAATATAACATAGATGAGAGTGGAAATTTGGAGTCCAAATCAAAAGAATTAAACCTTGAAGCTCAAGCATCCAAGAGAAAGTAATTTTTTTAGAGTTTTGAGAAATTGGTAGGTACTAAGATTACATTAGTTGTTTGCAGTGGCGGAGCCAGGATTTAATGGTACGGCCGTACGGGGGGCTATTGGGTTGGACAGTAGAAAAAAATGGACTATAACCAATTTTTTTTTTTAAACAAAATTTGGCTTAGGCTGGAGTGGGCAAGGGTGGGCTACACCCCACCCCTATCTCCGCCAATAACTTTAGAATACCTGGATATCAAAAAAAATAATAATAATAAAGAAAAGAAAATTAAACGATTTAATTTAACTTCTGTCAAAATCCAACAAACACGTTCGCTTGCATAAGCGTGCTGACAACATAAACGTGACGTGCAATTCATATCTTAACTAAAAGGGAACATAATTTAGACTTTTGGCATTGACATGGTCAGACTTTGTCTTCAAAATTCTTAATATCCGTTTGCTTGGAAGCGTGCTGACAAAATCCAACGAACACGTTTGCTTGGAAGTTTGCTTACCCATGAGTCGTCCATTCCGCAGCGAGTTACATTCACATTCTTCAATGAGATCCTGTTTGGTACACATTATTTTTTTCATTCTTATTTTTCTACTCATTTTTAACCATACATTCTTCAATAAAATAATATTTTCTATCACATCAATAACTTTTCCTTCATTTTTAATTACACATTCTCCATCAATCTATTATTCAATAATAAATTCTTTCAAAAAAATGTGTCCCAAACACACTCTGAATTAAGTTCCTATTTGATATCGATTTTTTAAAATATAATGTTTTTAATAAACTAATTTTTAACTGCATAATCACTTGTGTAGTTATGTTCAATCGCATTTATGATATTGTATTCTTGTACAAACCAAAAAGATAACAAGAAATTTTTCTACAAACGAAAAAAAAATCCTTCAATTTAATATGGATTTGCCAATTTCCTTTCCAAATGGTAAGTTTTTGGACATATATTCCTTCAATTTTGAAAAAAAGGAACACGAGAACTACATTGTAAAGGTAATTGTCAACACTTTTAAAATTAGGGATAATTGCAACAAAAGCTCCCAAATCTTTGAAACACTAGCAAATTTTTCTCAAACCTTTGATTTGTTGCAGAAGTCACCCCTAACCTTTTCAAACGTTGCAGGTGAAGCTCTTCTGGACATTTTTCATCCACAATTTCGTCAGTTAACCAAAATTTTAACTTTGACCATAATTTTAATAATGGGGCAAAAGAATAACTTTATATTTACACATTAAACAATTAAACTAATTAAATTAAAAATAAAAAGAAATAAGAAAAAAAAAATAATCGTCTTCTTCTCACCCCACACGCCCATCCCTTCCCCCCACCTCAAACCCAAAAATCAGCCACTCGACAATGCCACATCTAATTCTTTAGGGTTCGTCTTCTACAAAACTACAAAGAAAAACCCAAGAAATATAACATAGATGAGAGTGGAAATTTGGAGTCCATATCAAAAGAATTAAACCTTGAAGCTCAAGCATCCAAGAGAAAGTAATTTTTTTAGAGTTTTGAGAAATTGGTAGGTACTAAGATTACATTAGTTGTTTGCAGTGGCGGAGTCAGGATTTAATGGTACGGCCGTACGGGGGGCTATTGGGTTGGACAGTAGAAAAAAATGGACTATAACCAATTTTTTTTTTTTTAAACAAAATTTGGCTTGGGTTGGGGTGGGCAAGGGTGGGCTACAACCCACCCCTATCTCCGCCCATGGTTGTTTGTATTTTGGATTACTTGGAATTTTACGTGAAATCAAGAAAAAATTTCCTAGATTCTCTCTTTTCTACTTAAAATTTCTCAGGAAGAATATGGATTAGAAAATTGTGGTGGAAGTGAAAATGCAAGAAAGTGATTAAAAAAACAGATAAGTGAAGGGTCTCCTCCAAAATTCTTTCGATTTGATTTTGGGTTTGAGGTGGGGGAAGGGATGGACGTGGGGGATGAGAAGAAGAAAAAGACGATTGTTTTTTTTTTTTTTTTTTATTTCTTATTTTTTAAATTTAATTAGTTTAATTATTTAATGTGATAAATATAAAGTTACTCTTTTGCCCATTTTTAAAATATTAAAAACGTAGTTAAAGTTAGAATTTTGGTCAATTGACGGAATTATGGAAGAAAATTGTTCAGAATGACTTCACCTATAACATTTAAAAATGTTAGAGGTGACGGCTGTAACAAATTAAATGTTTGAAAAAAGTTTGTTAATATTTCAAAGGTTTGAAACTTTTGTTGCAATTATCCCTTAAAATTAGTATTACTTTGTCGGCTTTGGGATCGTCCAAATTTGGAGGTCAACTATTCAAATTCATAAATATAGTAGTTGGGTAAATTGTGGCGTACTTGAACAGTATATACCTGACTTTGTTTATTGTAAAAATAATTTTTTAATGGAACAACAAATTCGAAATAATGCTATTTATCGTCAATAATAATCGTCATTAATTCGGAAGACAACGGGAACTCCAATTCGTTATCCAATAAAGTTGTGATGATTATTGTCACATGGACTAACAATGATTGTTCATCGAGCAATGTTATTCATTATTACTGTTGTCAGTTTAGATGACAACTGCATGACATTAAGAGTATGTTTGTCTAAACTTAAAATCGAATAAAAATTGAAAATATAACTGTTATTGGATCTCACTCGTCTAATAAAAGTCAACAATAACGACTAGTTTTTCAATTTTAATCTCTAACGAACACGCCCTAACTAATGAATTTACTATTCAATTAAAAGTATTGCCACATGATTCATTAATTTAACTTATCAAGTGTGGTCATTAGACTGATGCTAAATATCATTATTTTTATCTGTAATAAGCCCCTCGTTTGAACCCTACTATAAACATTCTTTTAATGAAATAATTTTGTATCTAAACGAAAAATTTTTCCTACTTTTTAATCATAAAATCTTCAAAAAATCATTATTACAAGCTCATTTTTCACAAAAAGGGGCTCAAATAGATTCAAAAATCATTTCTTGATTCGAAATCACATTTTAATCATACAGTATTTATTATTTGTAGATTTTGTCCCTATTTGATTCAGTTAAAAAGTTGATTAAAATATAAATTAAAATCAATAATCAAATTTTAACTATATATTTAATGAGATTCACAAATTTTCAATTATGCATTTCAACTACTTTTATAAAAAAATAAAATAAAATAACATCCTTATCCAAACAAAATTGGGGGCGAATCATCTTTGATTTATACGCAATATTGTTTACCTGCCTACAAATATAGAATAGTCCGACCCCCCGAATAAAACTACAATTCAGTTGAAAAATCGCCCTTCTTTCTCTCTCCTTTCTCCCCTCCTACCCTCTCAATCCCTATATATGTATATATATCCCACCCTTCCCACATCTGCACCATCAGAATCTTTCAAAAATACATACATATATATATATATATAAATACACACACATACAGAGTCATCGAGATATGGAAAAAAACTCGTCAAAAACGATAGAAATCACTGTAATCTCAGGCGAAGACCTGTGGGTGAACCGGAGGCAACGGGTAAAGAAAAACGCTTTTGTTATCGTTCAAACAGATTCATCAAGAGCAACAAAAATGGATACAGATGGTGGAAGCTACCCAGTATGGAATGAAAAGTTTGTTATGGAATTGCCCATGCATGCACGTTTTATTAATGTGGAAGTTCAATGCAAGGCCTTTTCCGGCGGAAATAATCTAATCGGAACCGCGAGAATCCCGGTTTCGGATTTTTCCGGCGGGTATCTTCCGGAGAATTATTTGAATTTTTTGAGTTACAGGCTGAGGGATGGGAATGGGGAGAAAAATGGGATTATTAACCTTTCTGTGAAGGTGATAGGGCAGGAAAATACGAGCTGCGCCGCCAGTTGTTCGAGGCCATGGACGGCGGTTCCGGTGGACAACAAGGTTTCCGGTGGAATTGTGACGGGTATTCCAGTGCCATATGGATATTGAACCATGGAATTTTCTTTGCTTTCATTGGAAAAAATATGAAAATGGCTCAACTTTGATTCATGGTTGAATTGTTATGACCTGTTTGGTGGGGGCTAAAATTAGATTTTCAGTAGATTTTGACCCGTATTTTCTAGTTTTTAGTTAGTCAAAGTCAGTATGAATTAGTGACAATAGAACGTGACGTTAGTTGAGGATTTTTAGCTATTTTCAGTTTGTTTGTAAGCCTATAAATAGGCATTCTTAGTCTTGGAATAAAAAGCAGAAAAACCAGTATTTCTCTACATTTTCTCTATTTTGACCCATTTTGAGTCACATCATTTTTCTCGTTCTTCTACTCATTTCAACCACACATTTTTCAATAAAATAATATTTTCCATCACATCAATAACTTTTCCTTTTTTTTCAACCACATATTCACTATCACATCAACAGTAAAAATGCATTCTTACTCCTAAAACGTGCACCAAACAGGAGCTTTGAGTCTCTATTTCTTTGCCTTCGCTTGTTCAAATTTCCAACATTTGTGGTATTAGAGCCTCGTTCTTTCATAAATGGGCGTAGAACTCATGGCGACTAATGGCAATGTCGTGAATGTTTCTCAACCTTCAATTCCAATCTTCAAGGAAGAGTGCTATGAATTTTGGAGCATTAAAATGAAGTCTGTGTTTAAGTCTCAAGATCTTTGGGATTTGGTTGAGAATAGATATCCTGATCCAAATGAGGAGACCAGGTTGAAAGAAAGTAAGGACTCTAAGGCATTATTCTTCATTCAACAAGCAGTTCACGGGAGTATTTTCTCAAAAATTGCAATAGCGGCTACAGTAAAAGAAGCTTGGAAAATATTGCAGAAGGTGTTTCAAGGTTCTGAAAAGGTAATCACAGTGAAACTTCAATCTCTTCGTCAAGATTTTGAAACTCCATATATGAAAAGTGGAGAATCTGTAAATGACTTCCTCTCTAGAGTTTCTGCAATAGCAAATCAATTGAGATCCTTTGGATAGGAAATTACTGATCAAACTATAGTTGCAAAAGTTTTGAGAAGTCTGGCTCCAAAGTTTGATCATGTAGTTGCAGCCATTGAAGAGTCCAAAGATTTATCTACGTATTCATTTGATGAATTAATGGGCTCTTTGCACTCTCTTGAATAAACCAAATGAGAGAACTGAAAAGAAGCATTTCAAGTGATGGATGAGTCATCCAATCGGTTAAGAGAGGCAGTTAGTCAAACAGTTTGTACGCATTTTGAAAACGAGGTACATTTGACATACGCAAAGAGGTCTCCACCAGATTTCTTTCAAAGTCGGCTCCAAGAGCGTTGCAGCGAAAGTATTTTTTGCCGGTTACGATTATGTATGTAAGATGTATCTCCAACAAGAGTTGTATTGAACCAAACTCCATATGAAGTTTGGAATGGTACAAGACTCAAAATTTTTTTGGTTGTATTGCCTATGCTTTAATAGATTCACATAATCGTCGTAAACTCAACGAAAAATCTGCAAAATATATTTTTGTGGGTTATTGTTCTCAATCTAAAGCATATATGCTATATAATCTTGTTAGTGGCAAAGTAATCAACATGAATGTTGTATTTGACGAAGAAGCAAGATGGAATTGGAAAGAAAATAATGAAGTTGCTGATGAGAATAATGAAGCCATTTATATCAAAGTACAAACAAGTGAACATTCACCAACTAGAGAGGTAGTACCAACTCCTCCGAGTTCACCAAGCACAATTCCTTCAAATTCAACATCCAGCCCTTCGAGTAATAGCAATTCATCTTCCACACAAGCTTCTTCAGAGGAGACTCCTCCAAGGAAATTCAAGTCATTAAGGGAAATTTATGAGACAACTTAAGCTTTGTTCGTTTATGATCCTAGCAGTAAACAAAAAAGAATGGTGTAGCACAATGAACGAAGAGCTTGAGGCAATTAAGAAAAATGAGACATAGGCAATTAAGAAAAATGAGACATGGGAATTGGTAGATTTACCTGAAGGTAAAAATGCTAGAATAATGCTAAGTGTACACAATCTTTTACATAATCTTTTACACCTCTCTCACATGGAAGGGGGCCCACACATAATAAAATAATCGTGGACCCCCCTTCATGTGAGAGAGGTGTAAAAGATTGTGTAAAAGTGTGTGTGTACATGTAGCATTACCCATATGGTAATCACAGTGAAACTTCAATCTATTCGTCATGATTTTGAAACTCCATATATGAAAAGTGGAGAATCTGTAAATGACTTCCTCTCTAGAGTTTCTGCAATAGCAAATCAATTGAGATCCTTTGGATAGGAAATTACTGATCAAACTTGAGAAGTCTGGCTCCAAAGTTTGATCATGTAGTTGCAGCCATTGAAGAGTCCAAAGATTTATCCACGTATTCATTTGATGAATTAATGGGCTCTTTGCACTCTCATGAATAAACCAAATGAGAGAACTGAAAAGAAAGCATTTCAAGTGATGGATGAGTCATCCAATCGGTTAAGAGAGGCAGTTAGTCAAACAGTTTGTACGCACTTTGAAAACGAGGTACATTTGACATACGCAAAGAGGTCTCCACCAGATTTCTTTCAAAGTCGGCTCCAAGAGCGTTGCAGCAAAAGTATTTTTTGCCGGTTACGATTATGTATGTAAAATGTATCTCCAACAAGAGTTGTATTGAACCAAACTCCATATGAAGTTTGGAATGGTACAAGACTTCAAATTTTTTTGGTTGTATTGCCTATGCTTTAATAGATTCACATAATCGTAGTAAACTCAACGAAAAATCTGCAAAATATATTTTTGTGGGTTATTGTTCTCAATCTAAAGCATATATGCTATATAATCTTGTTAGTGGCAAAGTAATTATCAACATGAATGTTGTATTTGACGAAGAAGCAAGATGGAATTGGAAAGAAAATAATGAAGTTGCTGATGAGAATAATGAAGCCATTTATATCAAAGTACAAACGAGTGAACATTCATCTTCCACACAAGCACAATTCCTTCAAATTCAACATCCAGCCCTTCGAGTAATAGCAATCCATCTTCCACACAAGCTTCTTCAGAGGAGACTCCTCCAAGGAAATTCAAGTCATTGAGGGAAATTTGAGACAACTTAAGCTTTGTTCGTTTATGATCCTACTAGCTTCTTTAAAGCAGCAGTAAACAAAAAAGAATGGTGTAGCACAAGGAACGAAGAGCTTGAGGCAATTAAGAAAAATGAGACATGGGAATTGGTAGACTTACCTGAAGGTAAAAATGCTATTGGAGTAAAATGGGTTTACAGAACAAAGTACCATTCACATGGAAAAATGGAAAAGCACAAGGCTCGGCTAGTGGCAAAGGGTTATTCCCAACAAGAAGGTATTGATTACGACAACACAATTTATGTAAAAAGGGTCTTACGCTACATTGCTGTAACAATAGACTTTGGGTTAAGATATTGCTATGTTTCAGATTTCAAGTCGTTTGGATTTACTGACAATGATTTGGCAGAGTTTTCTGGAGGATAGAAAGAGGACTTCAAGTTATATTTTCAATTTGGGGCCAGGAGCCATATCCTGGAGTTCAAAGAAATAAGCAACAATAGCTTTATCCTCATCTGAAGCTGAATATGCAGCTATAACTTCATGGGCATGTCAAGCCGTATCGTTACAAAGGCTACTTGCAGACCTTGATCAGAAACAAAAAGGAGGAACTGAAATCTATTACGACAACAAAGCTGCAATTGCCATGTCCAAGAATCCAGCTTTCCACGGAAGAACGAAGTATATAGATATTCGAATTCACTTCATTCGAGAGCTTGTAGCAAAAGGGCACCGAATAGAGACCCTATGAAGCTTCAGTATTCTATTGGATGGGGTTTAAGCGAAGATGGCCTCCCCAAGCAGCGTTACACTAAATTATAACTCAAATGAAATAAATAGTATATAAACACCTGAAGTTTCTAGGTAATTGTCACCCCTTTTGTTCAAGACAGTTTTTAGGACTTTTTCATTTTATCATCTTATTCAGAATAGAGCCGTCATCCACCGTGCTCCACCACCTTCCACCACTATTTCACCATTACAAAAGATGTAGAGCAATGAAGGAAGACTAGTATGGACATCCACCAACAATACCATAAGACTTGGGCTACACTTTGAAAACAAAAAACTAACATGCACAAACTGTAGTTTCTTGTTGAATTGAAAATTACAGATAGTACACAAAGAGTACACTTTCAAGTCATCGAAATGTTGTGTAAAGAAGTTCAACTCATCGCTAAAAGTGGCACAGAAACTAGAAGTTCCCGTGACTAGCAAAAGCCCCACATTCATCAGATACACTAAATAAGAAAAAGAAAAATGTGTTGACATACTATTTGAGTAAACAAACAAATAGCAGCTGTATTGAAGCAAACTATGGACGACGAAGACGACCGCTCAGAAACACGAAGGAACCCTGGAATGGATCTCGATTACACTTCTTCACTACCACTTTGATTGCCATTTTTAAGAATATTGAACTTGCATAAAGGACACGTGGCATTCATGTACAGCCATTTGTCTATACAGGCAGAGTGAAAATGGTGACGACAAGGGAGTTCACGCAGTTCAGTTCCATCATCATAAGCACAAAGGCATATGCAGCATTCCTGAAAACCAATGCAGAGATGAATGCCAAGAAACTCTATTTATATTTGTTTGATTAGTAATGAGAAAATCTGACTAACTGTTCTTAGACGTTGATGTATTTTATGAATTCATGCTAGCAAGTTAACGATTCATAACACGTAAGAAACCCCAATAAACCTTTAAATTGAGCTCCCAGAACCTGAGTTAGAGCACGTAAAAAACTAAATCATAAGTAAATAAGATTATTTTCAAATAAATATTTTTTTATTGGCTAAAGTTTGAAATAAATAAGTTACTTATTTTGATAGTAAGATAAGAGTTACTTTCAAAAGAAGTAACGTAGAAGAAGAAGAAGGAGAAGAAGAAGAAGAAGAAGAAGTAGTCGTAGTCATCCATAATTCTCCCATAAAATCACATTTCCAACCTCCCCCCTCCACTGGTATATTGATAATTAATGCAACTAATGGACAATTAGTAAAACAGGTATACCCAATCTCACACCAATTATGCTGTTGTAAAGGACAGTCTGAAGAAAGAAAAGAAATCTTAAATGAATTTGAAAATTTTCTATCCACATGAAGAATAAAAACTCTAACTGAACATACCGCATCCTCTAGAGGAAGAATGTGTTCGGCAGGTGAATCAGTGTCGCATTCGGTCATTATTCCTCCAAATGATTCTTGAATCTCACCACTTTGTTTGTCAAAATCACCAATTCTCCGGAATTTGTATTTAGGCAGTCTTTCAATGTCTTCCTTAGTCGCTCCTTCCTATTTCCATACGAAAACAAGTGCCAAATTAAAAAATTAATACTGAAGCACCAAGAGGAAAATGTTGGGCCAAATAAACAAGTTTAGTACACAGAGAAAGCAATTGATACTTGACGCAACCTCCAATACAGAAACACCGAGTACAGACACCTTCTATTTTTTGTTCATTTTCTTAAAATACAACTATATGTCTCATCATGACAAAAGCATAATCAGAACATTTTATTGGAGATAAACATGAAAACATAAATCAATGTCATAAAGAACTACTGCCGTCAATGAAAGTGACGATCCAACTTAAGTGGGAATTATCAAGACAACTCATATAGCGAGCACACAAACCTTTTAAGTCAGTGACACTTTGTGATCGGTGAATGCAGATTCTAATAGAGTACATGATCATGGTACCATAAGGAATTCCCAGGACTTATTTCATAATCATATATGAGGAATTCACTTGATATTTAGGGAGAATTGGAAGCAAGTGATATCATAAGCGAAACAGTAAGGTTTATCCCTTCTTTTGAACGTAGAGTGGAAGTAGGAGGGAAGGGAAAGAAAGGAAGAAAAAGTAACGATTTGGTCCACAGACTGGGGGAAATAAAGCGATAGTTTTATCCATTATCATATCAACACCAGCATACCTTAAAAACCATCATGCACTACACTAATTCTACTGCATGGGGTTTTTTTTTTATAAGTTACATATAATTAAAATTATTCGACCGATACATCGATTACAAATATGGGTACCTACACTTCATAAAATGTCTTAAAATAACCATATCAATCGCTGAGTTTTAGGAGTTTTTTAGGGCTCATTAGATTTCAAATTGAAACACACAAAGGCACAGCAGTGAGTAATATAAATTTTCCACAGAAATATATAAAGGAACGAGGTGAGAAGTTTTTCCCTTTATCAAGTGTTCTGACCAACCAATTGTGCGCAATTCAAATGTAAATAGGGTATAATGACCAAGAACGAAGTTCCCAAAGTGATCTAATAGGATAAAATAGGGCAGTTGGTACATCTGGAGAGTGGGTCCTGTTTCCACATTTGATCTTTGAAAGAACAGGAATTAGTTTTTTTTTTCTATATGCTTGAAAGGTTGGGGTGGGGCATAGGAATCACACAGTGTTCAAATTCCATTAGTAAAGTGCCCAAAAGGTACTTAATGACACAATAATTCAACTTCTTAGAAAGGATGATGAAGAGAAGAAGTTATCTGCATTATCCATATCAACTCTCATATTGCTTGCCGCAAAAACCAATAACCACTCATCCATCCCTACTAACCCCCAAAATCCATTGCATATATGCATGCACATTGATAGGAAAGAGCAGTAAAGGAAGTTGCTCAGGGCCATCGGTATCATCAAGCGCCATAGCATACTTTTGCCTTTTTCTACTTCATGAAAGATCGCGATAGGAATACAAATTATTTCCAACCCTCTCCCCTGGTGCAGGGAAAGAGGACACCAGGAGGCTTTGTTAGGCACCCGGTAACTTTAAGATGATAGAGGGTAATAAATCTAGACGTGACCTTGTCATAGCTAAACTGAACATATTTTAGATCATTATTATTCAATGAACACAGTACAATCTGAGCTGAGTTTCTATGAAATCGACCAGAGCATAAGTCCAAGAGATGCAAATACACTTGAACTGCACTCTGGGTGCTGTCAGCAAAGAAGTTCAACAACCACACACAGAAAAAGAGAGAGAGATGCAGTTCATTTTTATAGCAAATTACAGGTATCTACCTGATCTGCTACTGCATATAAGATTGCAATAATACAAGGTAGGCAGCAGCACACAGCAATTCCAATGACACATGCCACAGCAATGCAGATAACAACAAATAACACATCGAAAGCCAGGAATGTAATACAAAGCCTGCAAAAACAAAACCCCATGCATGGATAATAAACAGAGGAGAGGAAAAACTAATATTAATATTGAGTCAACAAAGAAGATATGCCTGGACAAACCAGTAAAGTTGTGGTGAATCCTGAATCAAACTTTGGCCACCAGCAGTTACCCAGTAGAACCCGATTATCCACCAAATAAATGAGAACATTGTATTTGCTGACTCCAGATGTTTAGCAACGCTGCAATAAAATTGTAGAAAGAGGTCATTAATTATCTATTTCTTCAGCTCAAACCTGTCACATATAAACCCTTCATAGATTAATGCTTGCCCCTGTGCAAATCTAAAATATTAAGAAGTAAGAAAATTCTCTACATACGCAAAATGAAAGATACAGGGCATCGAGGACTTGGAGTTGGTGATCAAATATGAAAGGTAGACACCATAAAAGTCCTTCAGTGTCAACAAAGATTTATCATTCAATCCAACAGGTGAAAACAAGAGGTGATGAAATAATACATTCTTCAACACGGGAAATTATAGATAAAATTATTTGTTAGCTCAGACGGAATATTACTATCATTTAAATGCTTAAAAAAAATCTAGTCTTTTGGAATCAGAGACACATTACATTTGGCAGGTCATGGTGGTGTCCCTTGTGCCTCCCTCAAGGGTCTAACTCGAAAAAAATTTAACTAGTAATCCCTATGGTAAGTTGTTTTTCAGAAATAAAAAGTGTTCCAGGTGTCTGCAGGAGAAATTTGAGAAACAACTAGTTTTACTTTCTCCTATCAAGTAACAATAACTAGTTTTTTCTATTATCAAAAAGAGACAAGTCATTACACCCAAAATCTCTCTTCCATTCGACTGCATTAACAAGTAAAGTAATCATTCCTTTAGCAATCCACCTATACAAAATCTAGCAGGCATGTGTGGTTAGACACCAAATTTTACTTCCCAATAAAATGTACTCGTCTTTTACCAAGACCAATTCCAACAACATAAAGCCAGAGGTTAATTTACTCACAAGAACTCATATCTAATCTCGCATTAAATGGATAAGAAAATCCTTAAGCCACTTAATAACATTAAACTTCAAAGGCGTTAATATTCCCCAGCTTCGAATTCAAATGTGGTTGCTCGACTTTTGCGGAGTCGCTCATTTTTCTGACAGTAGCTAAGGTCAAAATTCTATAAATGCTACTTTAAATAAATAAATAAATCTGACATACCATTTCGGTAGAAAAAAGACCGTGAATTTGATAGAAAAAGTCAAGACCCCATTCTGTATAGTATAGTTTCATCATGACTCTGTATGTATAATAATTCAAGAAATCTACCTATATGAATAATAATTCAAGAAAAAATATATCAGAATACATATGACTCTGTATGTATACCTAGTTTCATCATCATTTTGGTGGCCCTCGGAAGCATAATCAGCAGACTCCACCTCGTCACTTCCGGAACTTGAATTCGAGTAATTCCTACTGTACCTAACCCCATTCCTTGAGCTCCCCTCCAAATTTCGCTGTGACCTCTTCTTATACTCCATCCATACACACACCATGTGAAGAACGCACTGAAGAGCATACCCCAAAATCCACAACCTCAAAGGCATCGACGGCGACTCGTTCCGGCTCATGATCATCACAGTAATTGCAACAATCACAAAAGCCAGGTTCCAAATGAGGTCCAGTATCACTATCGGCTTCGAATATGCCCAGTCGCTCTGTCGCTCCTCGATTTGCTCTGCCGCAGCCTCGCGCACTCGAACAGACGGCTCCCGCATCACGCGGCTGCGGCTGCTGGCTTGGCGGAGGAAGCGAGCCGCGCCTCGGAGGCTTGGCGGGCGGCGCATGAAGCGGGGACGCGTTCGGATGATCTGGTCTCCCAATAACGGCGTCGTATCAAGGGCATCATTGGAATTGGAATTGGAATTGTTGTCAGAGGACATAGTTTCGGCCGCGAATTGATTTGAACAATTAATTACCTTTTCCAAATTGAAAGATGCATGTATTATGCGATTTATTGGTGAGGGTTTGATCGGTGGGTGGAAGTTGAAGATTGGGTGAGGATGAGTTACATGTGATTATTGTCTCTGTATGGGTGTGCGAAGGTACGGGAAAGAGAGAGCAAGCTCATGAATCTGGATAATGTCTGGCTGAAAATATGTAAATTATTTACCTTGACAAAATAAGTCCAAGAATTGTATTTTGCATCCAATCGAGCTGGGTAAAGCCTAAAGGCAAACAAGTGTATTAATTTAAATCGATCAATCAACCAACCGACCGACCGACCCCACCAATTACACAAGTATACACCTAGACATGATTTTTAATGCACACTTGTATAGTATAGAAAATGTTGAACTCCAACCTTGAGCGTCCCCACCGTCTCGTTTCGTTCATTCCTTAAAGTATTATGGAGGTGGTAATCGCGGAATGTGCCTCAACATGTCGGGTATAAGAGCTGTTATATTGGTACCCACAAAGAGTTCAATTTCATACCCTGTAAGAGACAGGAATCGAACCCTCACACTGCGACTGTCAGCTCAACTGAAACTACCTCACATCTGTCATTTGCATCACTGAGCTATGCCCCTAGGGGCCACTTGTATAGTATAGAAGTGTTCATGTTGTGTTTGTTAAAGCCCAAGAAAATTTGTGATAAACCGAGTCACAATAATAAGAACCCTTTTTATTGATGTGTACAACGCAAAAACGAGTTTTTGTTAGTGTTATGCTTCATTTGGGATTGATTTTAGAATTTTAACTTTTGATTGTCAAACAATCAGAATTTATTTTAGACGTTTGATAAGTCTTAAAAATTGTGATTAAAGAAGAATCTGTACCACCTGAGAGTAAATTTTGAGAATGCAACATGGTAAATTTTTAAATTCTACTTTTAGCTTCCCCAATTATCTATAAATAAAATATTAATTTTAATCATAACTAATTAAATTAATTATCTTTTTTTTTTACCATATGATATGTGCTTTTATTTTGTAATTATATAAATTTCGATATTCTTTAGTTGTTGATTTTTGAATTTAAAATAATTACAGTAACATACATTGTCTTGCAAAAAAAGAAAATACAGTCTACGTGGCGTCAATGTGACATTAAATAATATGTGAAATTAGATAAGTCATTTAATTTCACTTTTCATTTAACCTATCATTTAAAGCCACATAAACTGTATTTTCATCCCCACTAGAGATGAATAATATTACTCATATTATAATACTACTAATGATGATTATAATATAAAAAAATCATTAAAATCAATGCCCATTTAATAGCCAAGACAACTAAAGGCCCATTTGGTATGACTATTACTTTTGTTTTTGCTTATTGTAGAAGAACTTATTAACGAAACTACTTAATTTTGTTTGGAAATTAATTTTTAAAAGAATTTCCTATTTCAAAAGTACTTTTAAAGGAAACCACATTAGACGATCTTCCTCTAAAAACTCTTCTAACTAGAAGAAACGCTTCTATAAAATTAGTCAAGCGTGTCCAAAATAAACTTTCGGATTTTAAAAACTATTTTTGATATTTGAGAAGCCAGTCAATTAGGCCCTTAGACACACACACTGTAATAAATCACTTTTATTTATCAAACTCTCAAATGTTAATTTTAAAACCTAATCTTGTATATATTTTGTTTGTTAGGTAGAACTCAATGATTGAACGTGAAATTAGAAGAAATAATCGAAAATCGATGAAAAATGAAGATTTTCAAAGTTTGAGAAACAAAGTATAAATATTCAATAGTTGATTCGGACCACGGAACGAGGATTGAAAATTCCAATGGGTTCAATTGGACAATTTGGACTAGAATAGAAAACAAAAGAAGTTAAAAAAAATCATCTGTAGCATGCGCACGCAGGTGCCATGTACAAGAGGCCTTTTTCAGGCACCCAAGGTGCCATCATCTCTAACTCTTGGATATCTCCAAACAACAATTTGCAGGAGTTTCCATTGAAACCCTGCTGTCCGAGGCATTTCTCAAGCTTCTTTGGCTTAAACGACACCCAACTCAAGATTTTCAATACATAAGAGTAAGAGAATAACTGCACAAAATGCTGAAACTGGGCTCTGTAATATCTCCATTTCCACTCTTTTAACTGCTTCCCTTATTGCAATCAAGAATAGTTGTAAAAGGTAGATTAAATAATTGGTGTTTGATTTCAATTTTATGTTTCCTAATGCCCTGTAAAGGGTACTGAACACGACTATACAACATAATAAACAAAACTTCAGCTTAATTTTCTTCGAATAATAATACCAAATTCTTCCAACCAAATATGCAACTGTGGATTTGACATCGAGTATTATAATTTTGAGCTGAACTTGGAAGTAGGAAAGATACATAAACACAATATATAAGATGAAAGAGGATAAGACAGCAAATACACCAGCTCAAAATAAGCTGCGAGTTAAAAAGAAAAATGCCATAATATGCACACTGCATCAAATTCATTTCATAACACGATACAGCTACAGCAGGCTACTAAGGCTTTTTGCTGTAGACGTTCTTGGATGGTCTCCAGCTGCAAAATTATGTCTTCAAATGAAGGTCTACGTTCGGGATTCTTATGCCAGCATTCTCGTAGAAGCCTGCCAAAGGTAACGGCTTTAATAAGGCCATTTTGATTTGTCACATGAAATTTTTGTTAGGGATTAAGCCTTTATCCCAATTCCAAGAGCAACAACGGATGAAAAGGAAAAAAATAGAAAAGCACTCAAAGAAACACAAGATTTATAGTGGTTTACCCTTAATGCCGCTGCAAATTTTTCACTATATGAAGGAGAATAACAGGGTTTTCCTCACAGCTCGGTGTCTTCTTACATGTATAAAAGACGATCTTCAGATTCTTATTTATATTATAGCGTAGAAACTAGGACTACTTAATAAAAACATATAAATACCCACCCCCTATAATAAAAGAATTTATCGTGGTTGAGTAGATCATTTTCTGATGAGTTCATTTGCTAATAATAACTTTGAAATAGTGATGTAATGATATCATCACAATTATCAAATGAACAGAGACCATATGTATTCTTACAATCCGGTTTCAGAAGAGCAGGGACGGACCCAGGCCATTTTTACTGTGGGGTCAAAAATTAAAGACGCTCGAGTGAAACTCAGGTGTTTCAAGGACAGTAAACTTCAGTCATTGGTGCTCGATTGTGCCTTACCTTACACCCCAAGTTTCTATTATGTAAAACACTGGCAGGACATATACATGAGTTTTTCAAAAACTAAAGATGAATAAACACGATAAAATATAACTCGTTGAATAAATCGGAGCAGGAAATTTTCGAAAAAAAAAAGATTTACCTGATTATTTCCAATACATGAACAACAACGAACATGTTAGTCATTGCAACAAGTCGGTTGGATTTTTCAAGTGAAAGAAAAATATTGTCATCAACGATAATCCCAAATGTGTGATATCCAATGAATGCTACAAGAAAATAACAAATTGCAACAACATATGCAAATATTTAGGGGTGGAACCAGGAATATTGTTTAGTGTAGATGAAATTTAATCGAGGTCGGAGTTTTTGGGGGATTGAAACGTCCATTAAATTTGGACCATTAAATTAAAGTATGCAATATGTATTCATATTTTTCTTAACTAACTAATCTATGAGCTTAAAACTCAATAAACCACTAAACAAAATGAAATATTCAATTTCAAATAAAGTTCGACCATAAATTTAATGATGGTAAAAATATAAAACAATATTAGGACAAATGACATAGTTTATAAGACCAAATTGTTGAACAAAATTTGAATTTATATAATTTTTACACACTACTTAATTGATTAAATAATATAAAATTCCCACTTAATGGACTCTTTCTCTCCATGTACTATTTCTCTCACAAGTTATGACTACAAAAAAAAAAAAAAATCTCAAATTATTTGTGGGGTCATTTGACCCCACATGAACCCTTGTGGGTCCGCCCCTGCAGAAGAGTAGCATGTAAGAATTACTGGAATTTTGATGCTTGTACACTATTACAATAACATCGCAAAAATTCATGGTCACTGGAAAGAGAAAAATAAAAATAAAAATGGGAAGGTAAGATTTGAGGATTATTCAATTAACTCACAATTTGATTGGTTCGGGATATACATGTGAAGATACAGATGGCCGTGAATCTTCATATGCTCGCTTGTCTGCCAGTTTTTCTGGATCTTCTCCCTTATTTGACGGTCCTCCTTGGAACATCTGCAGCATTTTCATTTATGGCAAGACAGCATTCCGAAGATATTAGCAATTATACGTGCTTAAAAAGAACTCTAATGGTATGTTTGGTATCGGACAATGCTAATGATTTGAAATAAGTTGAAGCCCAATATAATGCACTACCATTTCTGTCTAATGCGGCATATCATACATTCCTTAGATGACTATTGTATAAAGATAAGAAATCTATTCACCTCATGGACAATCAATGCAAAAGAAAAGATATCCACGCTCTTCCCATAAGATTCTCGACGAAAGACTTCTGGAGCCATATAGCGGTCTGATAATCATGGCAAAAGCATTTTATAAGAATATAAGTTAGTCAAGTCAAAAATCACAGAGGTATCAGACTATTCCTACAGGATCCAGTTCCACCAGTCATTTTATAACCCAGAGCATCTTTTTCCTGTGCGATTTTGCTGAGACCAAAATCTGTGACTTTAAGGTGCCCAGCCTCATCTTGCAAAACATTTCTGCAAGAAAAATGAAACTTCTATAATAACTCTCAGATGATTGAACAAGTAGAATTTGGGAAAAAAATGGCGCTGGTAAATTTAGCAGATTAATTCATATATGTGCTTTCCCGAATTTATGACTGAAAACAATAGCATAATGCGATTGGAAGGATGCCAATACCTTGGTGTCAAATCTCTGTGGATTATGGCACGAGGTTTATGCTGATGAA